TGGTGTGAACACAACTCATTGCACCATTAACCTCCCGTGCTCAAGTGGTCCTCACACCTCAGTTTCTTGAGTAGCTGGGACTACGGGTGTATGCCGCCATGCCTGGTTATTTTTTTATTTTTGTAGAAAAGGGCTCTTGCTATGTTGCACAGGCTGGTCTTGAACTCCTGGGCTCAAGCAGTCCTCCCACCTTGGCCTCCGAAAGTGCTGGGATTGCAGATGTGAGTCACTGCACCCAGCCTGTTCAGTTATTTTTGAATCATCGTGTTTTAGATGGCAGTAAGTGCTTTGGAAGAAGACAAAGTAGATTCCAGCAAGGGCAATGGGTATGCTAGGGTCTGGAGGTAGTTTGCAATATTAAATAGGATGGTTGGGATGGGTTGTATTGAAAAGGTGTTACTTCAGCAAAGGAAGTGATGGAGTTCGTTATTGAGATATCTGGCAGAAGCACATTCCAGGCAAAAGAAACGGCTTATACAGAGGCACTAAAGTGAGATCCTGGCATGTTGGAGGAAAGCAAGGAGGCCCACTCAGTGCAGTGTGTCCAGGGCAGAGTGAGTGAGAAGACTTGTAGGTAGGATATGAAGACAGGGAGGTAGGGACTGGGGGTATTCCCCTAGGGTCCTTTATGTCATTGAAATGGGTAGCCGCACAGGACTTTGAGCAGAGTGGTGACAAAAATCTACCTAAGGTGTTTTTTCCTTCTTCTATCCCCCAGTGTATTTAAAGGATCACTAAGCATGTTGTGTTGAGAATAAACTGTAGGGGGCGTCAGAGGTAGAAGGGAGACTAGTGACGTCGTTTACTTGACCATGGTAGATGTGGTAAAGTGATCAGATTCTGGATATATTTTGAAAGTAGAATTATCAAGACTTCCCATTGTATTGGATGTGGGATAAGAGACAAGGATGAAGCTAAGTTGGATTGAGCAACTGGAGACATAGAATTGTTTTTAACTTAGATGGGAAAGCCAGGGTAGAGCACACTTGGAAGGGAAGGTCAGATCCGTTTCATATGTGTTGAGTTGGTAATATTATTAGAGATTGAAGTGGAAATGTTGAGTAATTACAAGACTAGATGAGATCACCAAGGAAGTGACTGTAGTTAGGCGAGGACAGGGAAAGGACTAAGCCCTGGGCATTCCATTAAAGTGAACTTAGAAGTGGTCAGTGAGGTTGGGAGGAAACAAAGTATATAGCCAAATGAAGAAAGCATTTCCAAGAAGAGGATGTGGTCAGCTTTATCAAATGCTGTTGATAGGACAAAATAAGATGAGGACTGAGAATTGACAATTGGGTTTAGTAACATGGAGATCATTGGTTATTGAGAAGAATGGTGTTGGTGGAGTGAGGTGGGGAAAGTCTGATTGGAATGTGTTTCAGAGAGGATTGGAAGAGAGGCTTGTTGACAGTGTGCATAAACAAGTCTTTGCTTTCAGAAGAAGAGAAATGGGACAGTAGTTGGATTGGGGGAATAGGAGTGAGAAAGTTTTTTTCCTAAGACACAGAAATATCTTGATTTTATGGTGATGAAAATGATTCAATAAAGAGGAAAGAGGAGATTATACCTAAATTCCAAGCTCTGTTTTTATAATCACTTTTTTTCATACATTCTCAGTTCCTGTGCCCCTCTCTTGCTTTATCACTGTTGCTTGGCAAAGCCACAAACTTGGTGAAATGCAACACTTCTGCTTCTAGGTGCCTGCACTTTCTATTACACCATATTGTAATCAGCACAAGCTTTCGCAAGATTTTTCACTTATTCTGAAGTGTTCTGGCTTCAGGCTTCGGTAATAAAAAGTGAACTGTAAGGGATACACTGGCCTGCCTTAGGATAATAGGATTGAGAGCTGACCTTTTTCATGAGGGACTCTTAAGCCTAGAAAGCAGAATTCTTTGAGGTTGTCTGTTTCTTTAGTGAAGATTATTTGCCAGGGGTTAGATGCTTGATACTGCTGAGCATGTTCCACAGTGGTAGGGCATGGAAGATATGGAAGAGGTAAGAAGTTACTATTTGCAGTTCCAAAGTTTTAGTTAGCCCTGTTTTGTAGTCATCCTCTGTCGTCCTTGTTTCCGAGTGCTAGGTTACTAGTGTCCTGGGTTCCTCTTAGCAGAATACCTGTTCCTTCTTCCCCCTTAGTTTTCTTTTCTGTCACTGTAGGCTTAAACATAACCAACCTTCCTTCCTTCCTCTCTCCCTTCTTCAGAATTCTTGTTGCTTTATTTTCATTTTTCTTTTTTTTTTGAGACAGAGTCTCGCTCTGTCACCCAGGCTGGAGTGCAGTGGTGCGATCTTGGCTCACAGCAACCTCCGCCTCCCAGTTCAAGTGATTCTCCTGCCTCAGCCTCCTGAGTAGCTGGGATTACAGGCTTGCACCACCAGGCCAGGCTAATTTTTGTATTTTTGGTAGAGATGGAGTTTCACCATGTTGACTAGGCTGGTCTTGAACTCCCAACCTCAGGTCGCCCGCGTTGGCCTCCCAAAGTGCTGGGATTACAGGTGTGAGCTACTGCACCAGGCCCTTTATTTTTGATAAACTGCTATAATAAGCTCCTGTTAGAAGTTTTTTTAAGACATTACACCATGTTGTCTTGATATTCTGATCATATATGCACACATATATATGCATTTTTTCAAGAGATGTTTAACAGATATATACCATATATTGAATATTTGCCATCAAATATTCTTAAATGTTATCTTGCAGTGTATCACTTTCAAGTTAAAATGCCAGAAACAACACCGATATCTACAATTATTTTAAGGAATGTTATATAATGACACATTAAGGTATAGATTCTTTTGACTTGTAATTCTTAGAATGATAATAGCAAAAATGATGCAAAAAGTCTTCAGTGTGAGATTATGATGAAGCTACATTTTACCATTGTCTTTTTCAGCCATAATGAAAATGGTCTCGGTGTCTAGCTGCAGACAGATTTACTCATTCGAGAGCTGCAGGCAGATTTACTCCTTCTAGCTCATTAAACACAGGATACATGACTGCATAGAAGGGCATATAAAACATGGAAATGGCCTCAGCTTCATTCTTCATCTCTTCCATTGTCATCTCATTCAAATACCAACTACAGTAGAAAAAGCAGTGCTAAAATGCACTTCATTCACTGCAGTATTCTCCTTTTTTGCATGATAAAAGAATAAGGCACAAAACACACACAGGCAAGTGAGGCACTGACTTCACTTCCCACCTATGGACACCCCTTCAGGGTCTGTTCACTTTGGTAACGCCAGAAGGACTTGAGAGGAACCAACTTTATTTCTTTACTTTTACTGTAATCTAGTCCCAAGAGGAAGAGGAGAGAAATGCCTGTGGTTTATTTTACTGTGAACTGCAAGTTCAAATCATTTCTTATCTGTTGAAATAGAGTTGGCTGTGATAATAGTGCTCACCATTATTCTTTTCAACTCTATCACCTCTAGTAAAATCCACAGGGAACTTCTCATGAGATGTGCTGTTAGTGTATTCATAGTGTCTTCTGTTTGTGGCAGCAACAGTGCTTTTGAAATCACATAAGATTTTTTTCTCCCTGTGGATATATAGTGATTTTTACTTAATTTAGAAATAGAAAAAAGTTACTTTGATTTTGTAGGTGTGTCTTAAAAAAGAGTAAAAAAAAAAATTACAATTTAGAATTTCTCATTGACTTTAAAAACAATTGATGTATTTTTTGTACACAATTCTAAATATTTCCTTTTTTTGTTAAGAAAATGAAAAAAAAATTATGTATGTCTTGTTGAAAAGTTCTGTTATTGAAGAAAAACATCCAGAATATTTTCTACTTTATCAGAGTATCTTCTGAATGTATTAAGTTAAACAACTTAAAGTTTACCCTTTTTGTGTGTGTGTTGTCTCTTTAAATATGACATTACTAAATATTTCATAAGTATGTGATTAACTGTTTTTTTTTTTTTTTTTTTTTTTTGAGATAGAGTTTTGTTCTTGTCGCCCTGGCTGGAGTACAATGGCATGATCTTGGCTCACTGCAACCTCCACCTCCTGGGTTCAAGTGATTCTCCTGCCTCAGCCTCCTGAGTAGCTGGGATTACAGGCACCTGCCACCATACCCAGATAATTTTTGTAGTTTTAGTAGAGATGGGGTTTCACCATGTTGGCCAGGCTGGTCTCGAACTCCTGTCCTCAGGTGATCCACCCGCCTTGGCCCCCCACAGTGCTGGGATAACAGGCGGGAGCCACCACGCCCAGCCGTGATTAACTTTTTGAATTCACAGTAGTTATTCTACTTTTTAGTGATGCCAAAAAATTCTGCTTCAGTAAGCATTGGTATTTAAAAGATATTTAGAGTATTTTTGGGTTAATAGTTGCAAAATAAACTTGAAGATTTATGAAAATTGTGTGAATTGAGATTTAAGGTTGTTTTAACATGTATGATGTCTAAAAGTGAAACCTATTGTTTGAGGGAAGATGTGCATAGAAGCTTTTACTAATTTGAAAATATTCTTATATGGAAATACCACATATTTACTAGTATTTGACTACTGTGTGAATGGTGTACAGTAAGTACACTAATCACAGGATGCTGTGATTGGTTTATGTATTTTAAGAAAGAGTATTAGAACAGGAAGGATAATTTGAACTGTCTCAAAAGATCTTAACATTAGGTTGCAAATGACATTATGTTAGGTTTCTGTGTTTTTGTAGCAGAAACCTACAGTTTCTGCGTTTTGTAGCAGAAACTGTTACCAAAATCAATAAAAAAAATTGATTTTATTAACAGTTTCCTGGCTGACTTTAGGTATTTGATAACAGTTTTCTGGCTGATGATAGGTATTTTAATAGTCATACATTGCATTCTTAAGTGACCCAGCAGAAGTGCATAGAACTCAAATGTTCTCTTTTTGTTTCTGGTGTTATCTTGTGTTGCCCATAATGAAAACTTTCCATTGTATGGCTTCTGTGATATCTAATGTATAGAAAAAAGAGTTATAAGTTTTTAATGTCATTCACATTTTTCTTTTAGATTATCTGCAATTATGAAATGAAATAACTCAAGATGAGCAAGTTAAAAGTGATACCAGAGAAAAGGTACTGTAATTCTAAATATCAGTATGCATAAGTTACAGAAATAATGTATGACAGAATTATTTGAAACTCAATACTTGACAAAGTATTATTTGTGTTTAAGTAGATAGTATATTTATGTAATTAAAAATATTTATTAATGTTTAACTTTTCAGTTAAAATAGGAGTCAGCAAACTATGACCACCTCCTGTTTTTGTATGACCTGTGAGCTCAGAATGGTTTTTACATTTTTTTTTTTTGAGACAGAGTTTCATTCTTGTTGCCCAGGCTAGAGTGCAGTGGCACAGTCTCAGCTTACTACAACCTTTGCCTCCCGGGTTCAAGTGATTCTGCTGCCTCAGCCTCCTGAGTAGGTGGGGTTATAGGCACCCACCACCACACCCGACTAATTTTTTGTACTTTTAGTAGAGACAGGGTTTCACCATGTTCTCCAGGCTGGTCTCGAACTCCTAACCTCGGGTGATCCACCTGCCTCAGCCTCCCAAAGTGCTGGGATTACAGGTGTGAGCCTCCGTGCCAGGCCAGTCTTTACATTTTTAAATGGTTAAAAAAAAATAGTATTTTGCGATACATGAACATTATATACAATTTGCATTTCAGCATCTATAAATAAAGTGTTTTTTGGAACACAGCCATGCTAATTCATTTACATATTGTCTGTGGCCACTTTTGCATTAAAATGGTAAATTCGAGTAGTTATGACAAGGACTGGATAGCCCACAGTGCCTAAAATATATACTACTTGGCCCTTTACAGGGAAAGTTTAGGCCGGGTGTGGTGGCTCACGCCTGTAATCCCAGCACTTTGGGAGGCTGAGGCTGGTGGGTCATCTGAGGTCAGGAGTTCGAGACCAGTCTGGCCAACATGGTGAAACCCTGTCTCTATAAAGAATATAAGAATTAGTCGGGTGTGGAGGTGGGCACCTGTAATCCCAGCTACCTGGGAGGCTGAGGCTGGAGTATCGCTTGAACCCGAGAGTCAGAGGTTGCAGTGAGCCCGGATCTCACCACTGCACTCCAGCCTGGGCAACACAGCAAGACTCTCTCTCAAAAAAAAAAAAAAAAAAGAAAAAGGAAAAAGTTTAACTGATTCCTGAGTTAAAGCACACTGTATCATCTCTGTTAAAGTTCTTAAATATCAAGAAATTGTCTTAATGTTGGTTTTATTTCTTTCAGTTGAAAGACAATTCTGATTGATTGTATTTGAAATTGTCTTGGCTATACAGCCATGAGCAAAATGTGTAACTTTGTGAAGCCCCAGTTTTCTCATCTGTACAGTTATTTTAATGATAATGCTATTATCATAAGGCTGTGAAGATTAGATGGTATTTGGCTCGGTATAATTAACAGTGTATTAATATTGGTAGTGAAAGTTTCTACTTTGTCGCAATGTTCTTATGGTTACGTGTATACAACTTTACATTCATAGGTATGCTTTATATTTGTTTTATAATGAATAGTATACACACTGTTTAGGTTAGATTTATTCCTTAAATTGCTAGGTTTTGCAGTTATTAACTATGTAATACATCATACCAAATTTCATTTTAGTCACATACTTGTGTAATTTCTATAGGAAAGGAATTAGGCATTATTTGTATTTTTAAAAGGATCTTTTTAAAAAATGCCTTACTTTTTGCATCAGGTCAAACAAATAATGCTATTTCTATTGATTAGCTAAACTATCTAAAGTTACTAGATCGTTGTGCATAAAAATGTGAAATTACTTTTAGTTTGAAAGCCTCTGGCTCCTAAGGTCATTTAAAATTTTTTTCTCCTGAAGTATATTTTATTGGATATTTTTTGTTTTGTTTTGTTTTTGTTTTTGTTGTAGGGTAACTAATTTGGAATCACTGCAAATGGTCTTTGTCTAAAGGCAATTATAATTTCTAGTAAAACTTGTCATATTGCTGTGTGAAGAAAGCTGAATGCAATAAGGCAAACTGACATAGATAGAAAAGGGTCAAAGCTCCCTTCCCATAGTATGGCATATTGAGACTGTGTCAGAGAACTTACAAGAATGTCTTCTAAGGGTCTGAAAAACGGGGAGAAATAATACTTCCAGGTTTTGTTTTGAATTTTTTTCTTCAAATTTGATGAGAGCTCACCAATTTTCACAGAAAATCTTTTGTGTACTTTCATGTCGTCTTTTGTGTACTTTCATGTCTCTAGAGGCTTCTGTAGATACTCTTTGATTTCTTTTTTTTTCCTTTGCCTCTTTTTGATTTATTTCTCAATTATGAGAAATTTTATGTACCTAGCTTGGTACTAAATCTGTGACAGTAGGAAAAAAACATGAATATAACACTTAATACAGTGTATTGAAGAAAATGAGTGTTGAATATGTTCTAAAAAAAAAAAAGCCCTATTCTCTTTTTACGCAAAGCCTGTAAGCTAATAAAGAATATCTGAACAAATGCAGTATGGTGACTTAACCAGTGTGTAGTGAAGTGTTAAATTTTGAGGTGTATAGAATTTGAAAATAAGGTACTCATAAACAGGTGTTTATTGTGTGATAGGGGCTTGAAGAAGCAAGGGTAGCTTGAGGGTTAGTGGAATATTCAGAGTTGCTGAATTTAAACAAATATTCTAATTAGTTAGATTAGATTGGCAGATTTAAAGACCATGGCAGATGGCAGTAAGTGGCGATTTAAATCAAAGAAGCACATCTAGTGAAATATAAGCAGCAGAAATATTCTCTACACTTCACTCTCTACCATTGTGGTCATGCCCTAAATCTTATCATTAGAAAAACTCTCATTTCAAAATACTAATTTATTCTTTTCATTCTCCAACTATAATCTGTTATCTTTCTAGCTCACTTGCTCAAATATCTGTTCTCTAAGAGTTCTACCTCACCCAGAGCTCTACTCTGTTAACTTTTATTTTCTCTCATTCATCTCTTCCTCCTCCTCTTTTATTAGTATAGAATCTGTTGTCCATTATTACACATTCTTGCTGATACCTGAGATGTCTTTACCTCACTTTAAATTTTTCCATCACATCCAAGAGACGAAGTCCTTACCCTGGATAACCTTTATTGAACAGCTGAATGACATTGGAGGATGAACTCATTTAGTAGGTATCACTAAAAAAATGGTGACAGTGCATATCCTTATCTTGTTTTCTGATCATTGGAGAAAAGCATTCTTTTACCTTTAAGCATTTTGTTAACCAAGTTTCTGTAGATGCTTTTTATCAGGTTGAAAAAATTCTCTTATATTCTAGTATGCTGAGAATTTTTTATCCAGTATGAATGTCTGATTTTGTGAAATACTTTTTCTGTCTGTTGAGATGGCTACAAGGTTTTTCTTTTAGTTTATTAATAGGTGAATTATATTGAATGATGTTCAAATATTAAACCAACCTTGCATTCCTGTGGTTGATCTTACTTCATCATGATATATTGTTATTATCCTTTTCATATATTATTGAATTTGATTTGCTAAAGGGTTGTTTAGAACTTCTGCATCTATGTTCATGAAGCATATTGGGCTGCTTTTTCCTTTTCTTGTAATGTTTTTATCTGGTTTTGGTATTAGGTACTAGCCACAGAATTTTGGAATCAGGAAGCATTTCCTCCTTTTCAGTTTTTTTGGAAGAGTTTGCATATAATTGGTATTATTTCTTTGTATGTTTGGTAATATTCATCAGTTAAGGCACCTTGACTTGGAATTTTCTTTGTGGCAAGTTTTTAAAGTATAAATTCATGGCCGGGCACGGTGGCTCATGCCTGTAATCCCAGCACTTTGGGAGGCTGAGGCGGGCAGATCACCTGAGGTCAGGAGTTCAAGACCAGCCTGGCCAACATGGTAAAACCCCGTCTCTACTAAAAGTATAAAAACTAGCCGGGCGTGGTGGTGGACGCCTGTAATCCCAGCTACTTGAGAGGCTGAGTCAGGAGAATTATTTGAACCCAGGAGACGGAAGTTGCAGTGAGCCGACACAGTGCCACTGTGCTCCAGCTTCTGTGACCGAGTGAGACTCTGTCTCAAAAAACAAACAAACAAACAATAAAGTATAAATTCACTTTCTTTAATAGATATAGATAGCACTATTAAGGTTTTTCTTTTTCTTATTGAGTGAGTTTTGGTAATTTGTGTCTATGATAGTCTGAATAATGGTCCCTTAGGAGATGTCCATGCCTTAATCCCTGGATCCAGTGAATGTGTTACATTACTTGATAAAAGGGACTTTGTAGATATAAATAAATTGGGCTTCTTGATATGGAGAGATGATCCTAGCTGTGGGCCCAGTGTAATCATAAGGGTCTTTATTAAGGGGAAGGCAAGAGGATCAGAGTCAGTAGTAGGAGATGTGAGGATGGAAGCAAAAGGTTAGGGTGATGTAAAGAAGAGGCCATGAGCCAAGGAATACAGGTGACCTCTAGAAACTAGAAAAGGCAAGGAAATGGATTCTCCCTTAGAGCCTCTAGAAAAACCATTTCTTCTTCTTCTTTTTAAAAAATTATTATTTTTTAAAAATTATACTTTGAGTTTTGCATTACATGTGCAGAACGTGCAGTTTTGTTACATAAGTATACATGTGCCATGGTGGTTTGCTGCACCCATCAACTCATCACCTACATTAGGTATTTCTCCTAATGTTATCCCTCCCCTAGCCCCCCACACCCCAACAGGCCCCAGTGTGTGATGTTTCCCTCCTTGTATCCATGTGTTCTTATTGTTCAACTCCCACTTATGAGTGAGAACATGTTATAAACCATTTCTTCTTACACCTTGGTTTTAGCCCAGTGAAACTGGTTTTGGATTTCTGATCTCTAGCCTGTAATACAATAATAAGTGCATGTTGTTTTTAAGCAGTGAGGTTAGTGGTAATTGGTTACAGCAGTAGTAGGAAACAAATACTTTCATATGAAAGTATTAGGAAGCTAATGTCTTTCAAGGAATTTGTTCATTTCTTCTATGTTGTCCAATTTAGTAGGCATAAAGTTGTTGAAGTATTTTTTTATCTTTTTACTGCCTAGCATTTATAGTGATGTT